GTAGGTCGTAGTGCGTGAGTGATGTGCTTGAAAGCACTCGACCTGAGTTCGATTCCGCCTTTTGCAGAACTCTCTCTTCTCCCTTTTCCCAACACATATAGATGTAAAATGTATAACCTAACATAAAGGGCTCTACTCTAGTGTTATATTTTGCCAACAAACTGAAATCGAATCCATGATATGGCTTTGTGCCTATATAAAACAGCACAAGACTTTAAGAATAGGCATCCAATTTTGCTGGGTGATTTAAAGAAAAGTGTGCACTTTGCTCACGCGATAAGTATGGTTATATCTGGTATTTTCTCCTAAATACAAGCTTAAGGGTTTATTTCTTGCAAGTTTAGAAATATGACAAAAGTATTTTAATTTTCCTATAGTGTAATGTTGACTAAAATATACTTTTGAAATGTTCATTTTCACTTATATAGTACATTTATAGGCTATATGGATTTTACATCATAGGAATAATTATATAAATCATTTTTACATTATTATAATAATTGTTTGGGATCCTAAAACACCATTGATAATGTAATGCAGACTGAGACTCATAATTAAAAAGATGTTTGAGCCCTGTTTATTGTCCTGGTACAAATCAATGCTTTTTCTTTGTTCAATGAGCAGTTCATGGGTTGAAGCTCTTAATTTTGATCTCTCAAAGAGCACGAGATTGATGCATTTAACCTTAAAATTTACAAAATTTTCTAGCGGGGGAGCATGCCCCCCGAACCCCCCTAGAGGAACAGAGTCCACCCAACATAGTTTTACAAATTTGTTAATATCTTTAATAAACTACCAATGAAAATTAGCTCTTTTAGCTAACTCGGGTACATTTTCATTGTTCTAATGTTGATTAATGTGTACACTGTCCCCCTTACAAATAAACAAATGAATAAAATGAAGAGAGAGAGGGAGCGTATATAGGTGTAAAATGTGGGTGGTGGCAGTGGAGTCACTGGGTGCTCAGCACCCCTAAAGCTCTGACCCTAGAATCGCCCCTGGCCTACAGGCTTCACACAGATAGTGAATGAGAGAGATCGGCAGAGCGCGTGCAATTACCTGCCTCTGTCTTTGAAGTCGTGAAAAGCTTGTCGTGTCAAAGGGAAGCGAAATATTTGTTGCATCATCATTTTAACGTTCTCTTCACGGGTATTTTCCCATAAATGCGCGTCAGCGCATGTGAACATGTGAGATGTTCAACATCCCACAGCACAAGGAAGCCGAAATAAAATCAGTGAGTCACGCATTGAATCAATGGGTCTCCAATAAGTGAAGCATCAGCTTCAGCGTTGCCTATGCGACGCATTGCTGCTCAGCCGAGCCTTGAAAAGTTGAACATCAATGTTAGAAATAATTAACATATTGTTTCTTTACATCTCTTTTGAATCAGCTTTTTTAAACGTGTTCGTTGAATGAACGGTTCAATGACTCGCTCAAAGTCCGTTGTCATAACAATATGCGTGCTGAGTGAAAGTCTTTCAATGCGCATATACTGTAGACGCTGTTTAGTTTCGGTTACAATGCTTACTGAAAATGTCCTCGTTTTTGTCCACATCGTAAACTTTATTTATATAGCAACAAAAACATATAAATTAAATAAATAAATGGCGGTAATACCGCATATCGCGCTATTGAGCCACTCAATATTACCGCAAGGGAAATTCCATAACCGCGACAGCCCTAATGTTAATAAAATATTTCTTTAAATTGATTGACACATCCAGTGATTGGTGATTTTCTAGTGCGCAACTGCGCATGACAAATTGTAATAAAATTACTTTTAACACCACCTACTATGTGGCCTTTTTACCCTAAACTGATCATATTTTTTAAACTCTAAGTAAATTCAGTAAAAAAAAAGGATTTCTCTAAGTAAATAAAAGTAAATTAGGTAATCAACCCTCAGTGGTCTCGGTCTCGACTCGGACTCGACCGTCTCTGGTCTCGGACTCGACTCGGACTCGACTCTCTATGGACTCGGTCTTGACTCGGACTCGACTCTCTCTGGTCTCGGTCTGGACTCGGACTCGAGTGAGGTGGTCTCGACTACAACACTGGTGTGAACAACTCAACAACTTGAACACTCCTGATTTCACTGAGAGCAAGTCATGTAGTGTGAACCGCACAGTTCAGCCCGACGGTTTAAAATCATGTAGTCGTGTCGGTGTGAACTAGGCTTTAAGCATCTGATGGGATGTGGGGGAGTGACTCTAATAAGGCCATCCAGATGTTTGACGTTTTCTTAAACCAGTAGATCTCTGAATGGCCTTCCAATAAAGTGGGTGTTAAAGTGTCGACTTTTTAATAATTAAAAATAATTCAATTTCTCACCCCAAAATCCTGTGAATGATAGCATGTTAGGGGCCATTACCTGTGTTCATACTTGCTCACTCTCTAGTTGAAAAATAAAAACTAGATGAATGAAATCAAAACATGCTTGACAAACTGATACTCAACAGCACCTGATTCCTGTCCAATGAAATATTGAAGAACAAAGTTATACTGAAACTTTCTAATAAAGTTAGTCTTGGTAAACTGTGTAAAAGAAAATGAGCGTTTATTCTACTGTTATCATAGTTTCTCAGTGATTTCATATTGTTTATACTAGTTTCTAATCTGTTCAGTCATTACGTTTTGGATTGATTAGATATGTGCTTTTATGAAAGTGTGTGACTCAGGAAAAGTGATTTATGTAGTCTTGAGTGTAAATGAGTAATGCCACTATTAAAGTGAATCACCTTTGACCGGTCACATCATGTCAGCTGATCCTTACAGGTAGTTGCGATCCGGTAGGATGGTGCGTTTTGAGTTCAAGGTGCAGACGGAAGTCACTGTTGTCAGTCCTGGAAACCCAGTGACCTTTTATCGTACTTTGTGTTCATGTGTAAAAGAAGCCCGCATATGCTTTTATCGTCGCGTTTCATTTTGCTTATCGAGGCTTAGGTAATGTCTCCACCAGGTCAAAGAGAGAAGACAACATCACACTAGCGTTGATCAAAGTTCAGTCTGGGTGAATTGAGTTATGAATATCTGTTGTTACAGTAAGCCTGACCTTCCTCGTACTGTTATCATGACCGAAAAGCTTTACAGAACATCCAATCAGGACAAACTGAACAGCTTATGAAGTGATTCGTTGGTTCAAGCGCACAAGGAATTCCGGTTCTTAACAGAAATGCGGGATACAGAATGTAAAAATTAAAGATATACAAAAATACGGATGACATAATTTACATAAAGATGTATATGTGTGTGCGTAGGGCAGGGGTGGTGCACTGTAATACCAGTAATACTGGTTTAAATGCCACTACCAGACCGGCTTTCTGTGTGCAAACATGCCAATTCTAAATTAAACTCCATTTAACGCCGTCTTGCGCTTGAACAGACATGTTCATACAAAATGATGTCAAAAATGCCCGTCACTGGTAAACATAGGCCTAATCGGTTATGTCTTGGTTGGTTAAGATTGGTCTCGTTATAAAAGTGAAATAAATTAAGAAAGTGAAACAGAAAGAAAGTTATAGAAGTTTGAGTTTCTGAAAACGTACAATGTAAAAATGTAATTATTCGTATTTTATATAAAATATATGTTTTCAAAACCTGGGCTACTCTAAAATTGCAACAAAAAAATCAAAGCCAAAAAGCCAAAAAAGTCGTGTTTGAAAAATTTTAGGTTGATATCTCAAAAAACAAAGCTTTCAGTGAGATTTTTTTTGGGCGCAGTACCGAACGCTTCCACTAGGTGATAACCAGACGCCATGACTGCCCATATAAGGGCGCCTCCATCTCCATATGTGTTTTGAGTGAAAAATGTATGAAGTAGACATCCTTTTCATAAGTAATAGGAGAAGTTTGACGGATTTTGATTTGAATTCAACCGCTAAGAAACATAAAGAGAACAAGTATGTGCGCTGCCACATTACAAATGGTGAAGCTATATATTTTTTTCTTCATATTTAAATAAAAATGTTAGACCTTTTTCTCAAAAATAATTGAATGGATGCTATCTTTTGAACTCTTGGCATGAGAACAAACTGAGGTTTCTACTGAGGTAAAAATTTCATGATTTTTCATGTTCATCACTATTTCAAAATAAAGGTCTAAACACGCCTCAGGAGTATGAAAATACTCTTGTTGCAAACTGATAAATTACGGCTCCTCTGTAATATATTTCGAAAATCTTAAAGTGACAGCAGCCTAATAATCCAGCCTAAAAAAAAAAAAATATCACTCACTGCTCTTGACTGAATAGCTGCTATTTTTGAACAGTGTTATTTTTTACATTTGATTACGTTTCTATTTAGGAAAAGATCTTTTTCACTGTTGCCTAAAATTTTGGTTTGCTTCATGGCTGATAAAAAAATTTATGGCTGGTAAAATTTAAGTCACCACCCATTGGCAGATGTGACAAGTTAGTTTTAGACCCTAGACAAACATAATAAAACAGAATTCATCTAACAGTAACATTTGCTGAAACAGAACTAGAGAGTAATGGCGTTTGGTAAAGACTGGTGTGACCGAATCTTAAACTCTTCTTGAATATGACCGCTTGTTCACATTTCAACAGGTTTCAAACAGTGCCTCTAGTGGCAAAGTGTGGTTATGATTTCTGCTTTTTTGTTTTTAGAGTTGTAGGGTACGTTTACACGACAGCGATGCTGTAAAAGCGGTCGTTACGAGAACTTTGTCCTTTGCGTTTTCCACGCACAGGAAACGACAACGTTGTCAAAACCATCGGTCTCGCGGATCTGTGAAAACGACTAAAAACGCTGTATTATTCATGCCACGCCAGTAGTTGGCGATGTCACTTTGTACAGAAACACTGCGCACTTTCACAAGTTCACGTTTTTGTTCTTCATATCGAGACCATCGAGACCAAAAAAATTTTTTTCAGTTGTGTAAACGAAGGCCCAAAGCGCCTGAAAAGTTTTCCGTTTTTAGTTGAAAACTGTGTGGTGTAAATGCCCCCTTCTTTCCTCTCATGATCTCATTGGCTTTTGCAGCTGTCACTCAGCAGAACTCTCCTCAGCCAATCCCGAATCTCCCCGCCTCCCCACAGAACGTTCAACCAATGGGCATCCAAGCACAGATGCAGAGCCTCTCGACTTCACCAATCCTGACCACCGCCTCCAGCCCACCCACTCAGACAATCTCCCCTCAGGTTCAGCAGGTTCCTGTGAGTGCTTTTACTGACCCACTCATTGCCCAATAATTTACATTTTACAGCCAAGCAACCTTTTATTGTGTGTGCTGAGCGTTCTCCGTGTGTTTCGCAGGTTTTGCTGCAGCCGCAGTTCATTAAGGCGGACTCTCTCTTGCTCACAACTCTGAAGCCTGATGTGACAATGGTAACAACAGTGGCTTCACCCTGCATCACAACTCTGGCTACATCCACTGCGTCAGTCCAGAACACCTCACTGCAGGTACACACACACACAGCAAGAGCGCTTCATTAAAGATAGATAGATGTGTGTGAACTGTGAATGTATTTAGGAGCATGTGTACGCATAGAAAGGGGTCCTTTAAGGCCTAAAAGAATTCAGGTCATAAAAAGTCTTAAATGGTATAACAAAACATCTTGATCATTTTAAGAGAGGATGGAAAAATGGGAATCGAGATACAAATTTTAATTTGAGACATTTTGCCATACAAACTTTAAAAAATGTCTCGGATTCGCTTCAATTTGTCTTGTTCTTGATGTAAACTGGCCGTCGGTCGAATTGTAGTGCTATACGTCAAGACGTTTGATCTTAACCCTCAGGTGCTCTTCGGTCATTTCTGACCGAAAAAATTTCTGTTTTGAAATTTTAAAAATCACAGCTTCATCTGAATGTTACGAAACTTGGTGACTTTTATGGCATTGGGTATGTGAACACAAAAAAAAATTGAGGTCATGATCCGTGGTCGTAAAAAAAATAGTCACACTTGTGCTCTTCGGTCAAAAATGACCGACCATAGGAAATGAATGGGAAATTGACAAAAACACAAACTTTGAGAATTTTTGTGTGTACAATCTACAAATCGGCCACGATGCAGAAAAAAGTGCTCAGCATTGAAGGGGTGACGCTCTAAAATATCAAGAGTGCAAAACAGACACACCCACCAACACACACACACATACAAACACACTTTTATACACATACACAACAATACATTTTGATTACAAAAAGTATGTTTTGAATTTTTAAAAATCACAGCTTGATCACAATGTTACGAAACTCGGTGACTTTTATGGCATTATGTATGTGAACACACAAAAAAATTGAGGTCATGATCTGAGCATGCTAAGTGGTCTTAAAAAAAATAGTCACACTTGTGGTCTTTGGTCAAAAATGACCCCCATATTTCACCTACACACACACACACACACATTATATAAAATCATTTTTTTTTTCGAATATTTTCTTATTTAATGAATGGGAAATTGTAAAAAAAATGAAAAAAAAAATGTGAATTTTTGTTTTTTGTCAATTTTTTTTTATCAGAAATAGTTTTTGAGATTGTTTCAATTATATATTCAAATCCACCAACAACAACAACAAAAAATGTGTTAATAAACCGCTGGGGAATTCACATGCCAGAGAGCTGTACATGCTATCTAGTGGTTACACCATGATTCTACGCTTTTTCTCTATACTGTAACCAGATGGTGCTAATTTTCTTTAAAAAATATTTTTTTCTGAAGGCCTAGACTCTATATTAAACTAAAATACTGCATTAATATTTTTTTGAAAAAAAAAAAAAATATATATATATAGAAAAATATATATTTTTTTTCCATGGCAAAAATAAAACATAAATATTGCAAAAATATTAATAAATTCAATTAAATTGTCTCAAAATACTAAATTAAAAAGAATAAATATTATAGAACAAAAATAAATTGCATTGGTTTTACTGGGATGGAGAAAGTTTCATTTTTAGGTGTCCGGTCACTTTTGACCGGGAAGATAACAAGTGTGACTCCGAAACGAAGAGCACCTGAGGGTTAAATTTCACATTTAAATCTTGCCAAAGTCACTTAAATAACGTAAATTGTAGTTAAAAAGGCTCTCGCATTACATTTAAGGCCTAATGTCTGAAGACCTCAGTGTTTATTTTGTCCTGTCCCTCTCTCGTCTCAGGCGCTGATGAGCGGAGGCACCATCCTGACCACCCTTCCTCTGATGGTGGACACCGAGAAAATGCCCATCAATCGCATCGCCGTCAGCGGGAAACCGGGCGGCCTGCCACATAAGGGCGAGAAACGCACCGCCCACAACGCCATTGAAAAACGCTACCGCTCCTCAATCAACGACAAGATTATTGAGCTCAAAGAGCTGGTGGCTGGGACGGAAGCTAAGGTAGACCCATTGTCTGAGAAAGTCTGGTTATTTGGTCATCAAGAGAAACTGCTCATGCTAGTGACCCTTGAAATTCATCTGAACACTACCAGATGGAATGATCTAACTCAACCAGATTTTGCAGCTCTTATCTTACCTGGAAGAGAGTCTTAAGATGTCTTTGCTGTCATTGTAAAATGAATATTCTCTTTTAAGCAGCTCAATAAGTCTGCAGTGTTGAGAAAAGCCATCGACCACATCCGCTACCTTCAGCAGTCCAACCAAAAACTAAAGCAGGAGAACATGGCACTCAAAATGTCCATCCAGAAGAACAGTAAGCTCACCTTCAAAGTCAACGTGAAATTAAAATGGACCATTTTTACACTCGTAATGCATGTACTTGAAACAGTGAAACGGCACTATTGGCTAATGTTAACACATCCAGAATGTGAAGGATTTAAATTAAGAGTGTTTCGGAAATAATATACGGTAAAAGTACATGCTTTTCGGTAAATGTATGAAAAGGAAAATTTATGACAGTTTAAATTTATATTAAATGCGATTTGCTGATCTTTTTTTAAAGTACATCTTTATATTTTATCTCATAATGACTTCTATTGTCTTTTGAAATAATATATTTAAAGTTGAATGTACTGACAAGCATTTATGGTAAACTAAAACAGATCTTTAAGGACATTTTTTAAGATTAAGATGCAATTTACTACATTTTTAAAATATGTTAACTTGAAATGTAGTATCTAATAACACACTACAGTTAAAACTACACTTTACATGTGTTAGTATGTTAGTCAACACATCACAATGAGTGTACTTTAAATCGCAATAGAAGATCATTAAAACATGATTTAAAATGTACTTTTAAAATAAAACTTGATTTTATTAAAGTGCACTTAAAGGGATAGTTCACCCAAAAATGAAAATTAGCCCATGATTTACTCACCCTGAAGCCATCCTAGGTGTATAATATGACACTCTTCTTTCAGACGAGTACAATCCGAGTTCAATTACAAAATGTCCTGGCTCTTACAAGCTTTATAATGGCAGTGAATGGCCTTTTCTGTTGTGAAGTCCATAAAAATCCATCTGTCCATCATAAAAGTGCATCTGTGTCCATCATAAAAGTGCATCCATCCATCATAAAAGTGCATCCATCCATGATAAAGTGCATCTATCCATCATGAAAGTGCATCCATCCATCATAAAAGTGCATCCTTCCATCATAAAAGTGCATCCATCCATCATAAAAGTGTATGGATAGATGCAGTTTTATGATGGATGGATGCAGTTTTATGATGGATAGATGCAGATTTATGATGGATGGATGCACTTTTATGGACTTCAAAGCAGAAACGTCCATTCACTGCCATTATAAAGATCGGGGGATGCAGGGTATTTTTTAATATAACTCCGCTTATAAGAAGAAACTGTCTGAAAGAAGAATGTCATATACAGGGTGGACATGATGGTGAGTAAATCATGGGCTAATGTAAATTTGTGGGTGAACTATCCTTTTAAGTGTGTTAAAACTAGAGTAAAAGTACACTTTTATGACTAGTATAAATGTATAATTTGTTTTCAAATGTCCTTAAGTGCACTTGTTTTTCACAAGGGGTGTGTGAGTGTCTTTGCATTGACCTGTCTCGTTGCCTCCTCAGAGTCTCTAAAGGACCTTGTGACCATGGAGGTGGACGTGAAACCAGAAATTCCCACCCCTCCTGCATCAGATGTCGGCTCGCCTCGATCCAGCGGCACCTTCTCGCACCACGGCAGCGACTCCGAGCCGGACAGCCCAATGGTAGAAGACAGCAAGGTAGCGGACACTGATGATCTGCCTCTCCCGTCATGCCTTTAATGAATTGGCTTCGGTCACGAAGCAATTGAATGTGTGATCGTGTAGTGGATAATTAATTGGCCTGAGGTCAAGAACCTAGAAGAATAAGCGTATCACGGTTTAACACCATCATTTCCTGTTCTCTCGTGTAAGCCTGTGGTGGAGAAGGCTGGAGGAATGCTGGATCGCTCTCGTATGGCTCTGTGCGCCTTCACCATGCTCTTCCTGTCCTTCAACCCGTTGGCATCTCTGCTGTGTGGCGGCTGGAGTAGCTCTGGAGAGTCTGTCTCGGGACACACGGGAAGGAGTATGCTAGCAATGGAGGAAGCAGGTACTAATCCTCAAACCTTAAAACCTAAAAGCAGCAAAATCAGGGTTTCCGCGGGGTCTTAAAAAGTCTGAAATTCTGAACTTTGAATTTAAGGCCTTAAAAAGTCTTAAAAACGGTTCGATTTTCATCTGAGGTCTTAAATTTGATTTAGTCAGGTCTTAAAAAGATTTTACCCTCGTTCATTTGCCAAAACTCTGGCCGCAGAAAGTTATTACAAAGAAGCAAAAAAGTATTGAGTCATAGCCTACAAAGCGAAGCTCTAGTGCAGGGGTTCAAACACGCAGCTTGCGTGTTAGCATTAGCTCGTGGTTTGATACGAGGTAGCTTGCCAAGTTCATACACCAGGTTTGCGCGCTCAAGTTCATTCAAATATAGGCGCGTCGCATCCACAGCGAAATTGAAAAAATCTCACCATTTCAGATTCAGAATGCCGCAAACGAACCGAAGAACCAACCAATCAGCCCCTTCCGTAACAACATTGAAAGCTCAGTCAACATGAAGGATCGCGGTACACCCAAACACTACCGGTGTTTTTCTCTTCTCTGTGAATAAATCTTGTAGCAGACCTAACGTTACAGCAAGCGTTTCTCGGTGGTGGAAATCCTTTTGCTACTAAAATGTCTTTGTCGTTATTAGGGTTGGGTATCGTTTGAATTTGAACGATTCTGATTCCGATTCCTTGTTTCGATTCCGGTTCCTGACGATTCTCGATTCCGATTCTTTTAAGAGGCAGGGTCAAAAAAGTTTAGCTAACCTTGCTAACCAACGGTCTTTCTGAAGGAAATACTCCTTTTGTCACAAATTTTGCATTTTTCGTTATTTTTAGAAAAGTGAAGCCACACTTTGGACCGACGTAAGCTACTCATGTTCGACTCGCGTGGTTATGCCAACACTTCCGGTAGACGCTTCTTCATTGGTGTTGTTCAGCGGTTTCTTCTTCCGCTCGGCGGACTGTGAATATCGAAACTAGGAATCGAAATTTTAACTTTTGAACGATTCCGGGAAAAACAAAAAGTTAGTCTCGATTCCAATCGATACTCGATTCTCGATACCCAACCCTAGTCGTTATGGAGAGCGCAGTGCATGGTTGCATAGCAACGACAGACGCAACAGGAAAATCGGCCCAAATTTTACCATTAATAATAAAAGATAAGGGGATGTGAATGTCAGTAATTTATAATTTTTTGACTCAATCTTTTTATAAAAGATTATTTAAAGGCTGAAATACGTGAGGTTTATCTGTTTACAAAACTGTTTTTGTGAAGACTTTATTTTAACTAGACTTAACCTTTTGCAAGACACTCCTTTAAAATCTGGCCATCATTTTTAATGGTATTTTAAAACAAAAAGTGCATATTCATGCTAATTTTATTTGCTGGGTTCATTTGGCAAATTGATTTCATAGTAATCATGAAATAAAATGTTCATGCTATTTCATCTCTGGGTATGATCAACTATAATTGTGTTTTTACAGTATAAAATGCAAAGTACAAATTTCACCTACACACACACATATTATATAAAATCATTTTTTTCTGAATATTTTCTTATTTAAATTTTTGGTAATGCGTCGTGTAGGTCTTAAATTTCAATGTTTATGGTCTTAAAATGTCTTAAAAAGGTCTTAAATTTGACTTACTGAAACCTGCAGAAAGTGCTTTTTCAGTCTTTGCTTAGGGCTAAAAGAAGTTGAAATGCAGAAATACTGTTAGCGAACATCCCAACGCTGTAGAGAGCGACGTTTAGATGAATATGTCAATATATACAGCACTTTATACAATCGATTTTATTTGTTTTGATATGTGTAGCCAATTCTTGGGGCTGGATGGATTGGATGTTGCCCACTCTTCTGGTGTGGCTGCTAAACGGTGTTCTGGTCGCTGGAGTTTTGATCCGACTGTTCGTCTATGGGGAACCTGTCACCAGACCTCACTCGGAATCGTCCGTCCTCTTCTGGAGACACCGCAAGCAGGCCGATCTGGATCTAGCCAGGGTATAAAACACTCTCTCGCACGTGTCCATGTTAGATCTGGGAGTCCGAGTTCACCAGATCGCTTTCTCCGCTTCTGTTTTTTACTATATTCTTTTCGTATTTCTGCAGGGAGACTTTGCTCAGGCCTCTCAGAACCTCTGGACGTGTCTCAAAGCTCTTGGTCGACCTCTGCCCACGTCTCAACTGGACCTGACCTGTGCTGTTCTGTGGTCCGCCTTGCGTCTGTGTCTGCAGAGATTGTGGGTGGGCCGCTGGCTAGCCAGCCGCGCCGGAGCCCTTCGCTCCAACCGCCCCCTTCAGGAAGACGCACGCAAGAGCTGCCGTGATGCCGCCTTGGTCTACCACCGTCTACACCAACTCCACATGACCGGTAAGACGCTTTATACATCTAGAGGAATCGGGTAACCTTGTGGAGAGCAGCTGAAAGGGCAGGTTCACACAGAACACATTTTTTCCATTCCACTGACCTTCTAGACCTTGCTTTTTTCGCTTCACCGCCCTGCATTTCACGTTTTTAGCCGCAAAAACCAGTTCCGTGTGAATGGCCCGTTGAGCCGCCCTTTTATTATCTCTGACATTTGCTCATGATTGTCAAATTTGGGCCTTTAGTGGTCATCGCACAGAACTTTTAAATTGTTCATAAAGCAGCCGTCACCCTCTGCTAATTCACCATGGTAAAATGATTTTTTTCAAATATATACACAAAAAACAAAACAAGCGACCGGCAATACATTTGAAAGGAAAGCATAGTAGGGCTACTCAATGCAAATGGTAATTTAAAGGGATAGTTCACTTTGAAATTAATTTTTGATATGTTTTATCTTACCTCAAGGGCATCCAAGATGTAGGTGTCTTTGTTTCCGCAGTGTTTTCAATTTTGATATTTTTAGGTCAAACCGTTCTTGTCTGTCAGTCATATAATGGAGGTCTATGGTCACCACCTCAAAGAGCATGCACAGAGAAGTCCAAATTAAACATGATTTAATGACTCGTAAATGTAAGTACACATTGATGGCCTAAGACACGAAACGAGCGGTTTGTGTGAGAAAACGAACAGTATTTATATCGTTTTTACCTCTTCTGTCTGCGCAAGCGCGCGTGTATTGTTTACACAGAGATTTCAGAAGTGTTACCCTTCACAGTGAAGATCTAAACATATTTAGATAAACAGGAACTTGCACGATTTCGATACATCAACAGACAATGTTGATTTTTTTTCTCGCAACCACGCGAGAGATCACTTCCGGCGTTTTCCAGCACTTGCGCAGACCAAAGCGCCCGCGGCCTCAGATCACTTGGACGTGGCTGTGATTACAAGAGGTAAAAACGATATAAATACTGTTCGTTTTCTCACACAAACCGCTCGTTTCGTGTCTTAGGCCATCAATGTGTACTTACATTTACGAGTCATTAAATCATGTTTAATTTGGACTTCCCTTTGAGGTGGTGACCATAGACCTCCATTATAGACTCAAGCGGTTTGACCTAAAAATATCAAAATTGAAAATACTGTGGAAACACCTACAGACACATACATCTTGGATGCCCTTGAGGTAAACTAAAACATATCAAAAATTAATTTCAAAGTGAACTATCCCTTTAACAATTGTTAAAATGTTTTCTGACATAATTTTTCTTCATGACCATTTTACAGAAATTGAGCTTTAAAGAAGACCAAGCCCATAACATGCGGATGGAAAAATAAAAGATGAAAGATACTATGACCACATATGAAGAATTCTTTCCCAAGACTTATCCACAAGTTTCCTACGTCCCATGAGGCCTTGCGTCAAAAGTGGGCGTGTCTTCCGGTTCGAAGTAAACAAAGCGCGATTTGACATGCTTGACACTCGTTCATTCAACAGTTGACAGTCATTCAAGTTATAGCGATCCAAACTAGCTAACGATGTGGGAACACAACCTCAACGAAATTCAAAAGGGTGAAATAACAGTACCTTTACCTCTGCAGTAGTTGATTGGGAGTATTATAATAACATTATTAATAATCAATACTCATCAAGGCATGGTGACAGACAGTTATGTGAGCTGACAAACAATTAAAATAAAAAATACACACTTAGTCATTGTGCTTTGGAGTTTATTCAAAATTATAAATGAATGTGCTGCTTGAATACATTAACTGGCACATTTGGTGTTCTGTCAACACAGGCTTTGATCCTGAGTTTAGCTGTAACATCAGTAGCGAACAGCCAATCACATGCTGAGAGTTTATAGAATATTAAGAATTTAAACAAATGTACACAGGAAGATTCGTCGTCTTTTGGGAGGTGATGGAAACTACAGTCGTTGGCAGGATCACTCTGATTTCGTTTTCAGCTTATGTTCAAAACAATCACGTTTAAGCCACTGAACTAGTTTAATCCGGTTATACATACAACCGCGAACAGCACATGTTGTCCCTGAGCTCCGTAACGACATCTCTCATAAAGATTTGCGTCTTTAAATAGTAAAATAATTCTCCGAAAAACAGCTAGCCTCTTCGCTAACTAACACACAAAATACCATTGGAATGCTACTTCCGCCGCGTCACCGGAAGTTTCACCCACTTTATTTTTTACAGGAGCGCCCCTCTGAAACTTGTGGATTCATTTTGTTCCCTTGTTTGCGCTAAATCATGGCCAAGTTGTGCTGCTTCATTCCCTCATTTTAATGGTCCAGTAGTTCAGGCCATATTTTTGTTTTAACCCTGAAATGGCACACCTGATTCAATTAGGTTTTAATTAGATTTAAAATTCCACATACGCATTTGATCGCAAATCCACGCAGTTCCGTAACAACTCCACTGTAAATCAATGACGTTTGTTGTTTGTCAAGCTTGTGTTGATGACAAATCTTCTAGCCATTAATCATATTCGCTCCTGCTGTTGATGTGTGTGTGTGTGCAGGTAAGCTCGGAGGAAGCCACCTCTCTGCCATCCACATGGCCCTGAGCGCGCTCAACCTGGCCGAGTGTGCCGGAGACTGTCTACCTGTGGCCACACTGGCAGAAATCTGTGTGTCTGCAGCCCTACGGATTAAAACCAGTCTCCCCCGCTTGGTTCACTTCACTACTGTTAGTACACACACTCTCACACTCACAGGCCCTGCTCCAATATCTAGTGAGCCGCACTGCTGTCAGACACATGCAAATCTTAACCATGACGGAGCCTCAGAAGTGTTTTATGTGTACGCTAGGCTAGCATAGCATGCTCATCCCCTAGACGTGCAACCTGACGCGCATATGCTCTGTACTCATTTAAACTAGAATTGCGAATATACAAATTTATTTTTAGACATAACTTCTGGAGAGAAATTGCGCAGACACTGGACAAGGATGAAACACTCTGGTATGTGTGTGTCACTTTGTCAAGTGAGTTTACTATGAAAGGCAATGTGATCAGCTGTACAAATACTATGGAAGACGCATAAGAAAAACAAAATCAGAATTTATGAAAATTATGACAGGTAATTGTGCAATACCAAGTCATGATAATGAGATCAAAACTATGACATAGTAATTCATAATTTACTTTTGTCGGAATATCAATTATTTTGACTTTTCATATGCATGTCAATTTGAACTTTTTTTATAATTATGACTTGGTATATCATAATAAACTTTCTCATAAGACTTAAGATGGCTTGAAATTATGTGGCAGAAATAGGCTTCAATAGAATACTCTTGTCAAAGCTGGAGCTGTACAGAGTGCCGAAGTTACGACGTCACTCTGTAGGCCGAAACGCGGAAGTGAGTTAGCATTTTAGCACTTAAAGTCTATGGGATTTTTGAATGGGTTTTTGCTAAATCGCCTGAAATAAGGTCTGTGGTGAACAAAGCCTCTAAATAGTTTCACGTTTTGATCTACTAAACAGATGTTATGAGCTGGGATGTTTCTGTTAAACGGCCCCATTAGCATGTTGCTAAGCTAACCGTGTTATCCTCCAAACAAGCACTTCACATATAGACTGTTTACTTGATTGTAGTATTTTTATCAGTCATTTCCAGGATTGAAGGAATTATATTCAGACTTTGGATTTATTTTAGCTTGTTGTGGTGCATTCTGGGATTGAATTTTATGCCAAGATGCTCTAAATATTTTCAGGTTTTGATCTACTAAACAGATATTATGAGTTGGGATGTTTCTGTTAAACAGCCCCATTAGCATGTTGCTAAGCTAACCGTGTTATCCTCCAAACAAGCACATCACATATACACTGTTTACTTGATTGTAGTATTTTTATCAGTCATTTCCAGGATTGAACGAATTATATTCAGACTTTGGATTTATTTTAGCTTGTTGTGGTGCATTCTGGGATTGAATTTTATGCCAAGATGCTCTAAATATTTTCACGTTTTGATCTACTAAACAGATATTATGAGTTGGGATGTTTCTGTTACACGGCCCCATTAGCATGTTGCTAAGCTAACCGTGTTATCCTCCAAACAAGCACATCACATATACACTGTTTACTTGATTGTAGTATTTTTATCAGTCATTTCCAGGATTGAACGAATTATATTCAGACTTCGGATTTATTTTAGCTTGTTGTGGTGGATTCTGGGATTGAGTTTTATGCCAAGATGCTAGCAATGCTACCAGACTTGGCAACGTCAGTGTCCGTGTGGCGCTTACAATAGAGAGCTCCCTAGGTTTTGGAAGAGCGTCCGACTGTTTGGGCTGTTTTGTTGGTTTACTCTTGTGTCCATATTTGGTTCCTGTGCTGCAGAGATATGATGTTTCTTTTCATGTTTTGCAGCGAGTGTTCTTAAGCAGCGCTCGCCAGGCCTGTCTCTCGCCCAGTGGCAGCGTCCCTCCTGCCATGCAGTGGCTGTGTCACCCTCTGGGTCACCGTTTCTTTGTGGACGAGGACTGGTCCATACGCAGCACCCCTAAGGAGAGCATCTACAGCCAGGCGGGAAACTCAGGTCAGCACTAAACCGAGAAATCCAGGCTTTAATGCGCTCGTGATGATGATTCCTTAGTCTCACTTGTGTGTGTGTATTTGTGTTTGTCTGCAGTCGACCCGCTGGCTCAGGTGACCCAGGCGTTCCGGGAGCATCTGTTGGAGAAGGCCCTCTACTGTGTGGCACAGCCTCAAGGCGACAAGACCCTCACTGATGGGGACGGGTGCGTGTCGTTCCCAGCGCTAGTTTGCACCAATCTCTATAGGGAATAGAAGTGCACTGCTTTCTAGAAGGTTATAATAGTGATGATGTCTGCTTTCCCTTAAAGGTGCATTGCGCAACATTTCATGTTTAAAATCGGCGTTTTTCTAACCCATACATGCTTAAACAATCGCCTGATGGGCTGAATGAGCAATAATGTAATTTATTACATTAAGTCTACATACTGGTTTAATTTATGTAAAACAACATTTTATTTTTTAACTGGCACTATTGGTTTCTAAATATAACAAACTTGAGTATTTGTTTGCACTTAATTTTACATTTGGTGCCCCACACACTTTTGAATCAGTTTTCTATCACTTAATCTTGTGGTTTGACTGAATTTGAGTTGTGTGTGTGTGTGTGTGTGTTTGGACAGGGAATACTCGGACGCTCTGGAATACCTGCAGTTACTCACCAGCGCCTCAGACGCAGCAGGAGCCACAACACAGTCCTTCGCCATCGGGTCAAACATGGCCACCGTCACAGGTACCGTCACTTTAGATGCCTCCCACATCCCCGAGCTGGTGTTTTAATGGTACGTTCACACCGGATGCGAATAGCACATCAGGCGCGAATGATTTCAATGTTAAGTCAATGCAAAGACGCGTTATGCGTGTAAAAAATTCCTGCGGCGCGAATGAGGCGTGGAGCGCGGCGCGGAAGACGCGAATACGCCTCGTTCGCGCGAATGATTTTGTTAGTGCCATTTGTGCATTCACGCGTTTGACGCGAATTCGCGTCTGCCGCCAAGTTGAAAAATCTGAACTTTGCCGTGAATTCGCGCCGCGTTAACCAATCAGGAGCCTAGCTGCTTGCTCACGTGGTGAAGTGTCTGATGCTTCAATAAATTATTTTGTAATATGACTAAATGCATGGTGGGATTATGCACAACAAAGCAAATATTTTATCACTTAAAACATTATTTCTATATACGAGACATTTTGTATTGAATGTTTTTCATTCCATATCTAGATTATATGAAATATTATTATGATGTAAAGACAATCAACATATATGTGCATAAGTTCGTGTCTGGACGTGAGAGAGAAAATAAATCACAGGACAGGTTAATAACTTTTGAAGGCTGGCTCTATTTATCATCAAAACCAAAATAAATGACAGCTAGATTAAGATGGATGAGGGCGAGGGTGATCCTCACTCCGATGCGGGACAACAGGTCATCAAACTGGGCGCGGGACAGGCGGAAGTACCGCTGAGAGTGGCCGTCATCCAGCGCAGCTCCTGGAGCGAGCAAATGGTGAAACTCGCCAAACAGCCATACACGTCGGCACCAAAATACCAGTAAATTCTGTGATCAGATATCATCTTTACGTGCCGCGCCATTGTCTCGTAAACTTTCTGCGACTTTCTGTGCGCACGCTCCGAGACGGACAGGCAAGGTGAACTTCACGCATAATCAGATAAAAACACACTGAAATATGTCAAAACGCCCGGTTTGGGGAGTATTCGGTTACATCTCAAGTGAACGTAAACAGCTGGGAAATAAGTGCCACAGGTGTCCAAGGATTCGGTCTTAAAGTGACAGCAGCCTAATATTCCTTCTGTTTCAATGTGAATCAAACAACAAAATACAAAGTGAAAGTCACTCACTGCTCTTTATTAGGATTAATCTATCTTTAATGGAAACAGGGAAAGACTATACAGTACTTTCTGTTCTATTTCTATGCTATGTTTGGTAACTCTAAGCTGTTCCTCTATGGGAGGGTATGGGATGTTTTTCACGCCAATAAATAAAGAGTTGTTAATTTATGATGCTTCCTTTTTTATATTTATATTTATTTGATAAGAATAGCTAAATAAAGGCAATGGGTCTATTTGAAGCCTTTATTATTCATCATTATTTGTTTCGTTGACTGGGATCAGTGATCCAATACTGCTTCCAGTGATCTGTGAACGCCCCCAGAAATCCTGATTGGAGCACCCGAAATATATATTCGCATTACCGCTTTCCGTTCAGGGGTGCGTTTCCCGAAAGCATCGTTAGCCAACTATGGTCAGAAGTTGGTCGCAATTTCCATTGTACTCTATTGGTAATAGGGCTGTCAATCTTCCTCTATAATACTATTCGAATTCCATTCCTTATTTTATGTAATATTCGAATATTAAATGCTCAAATTTATCCTATTATTAATATTTACGACATTACACATTCTTATGGATCGTCAATGCCACTATAGCCCGGGTTGTTGTTACACGTTCGGCCCACTAGAGGGACATCTAACATTACTACAATGAACATTTAGGGGCTGTTTACACCTGGCCACTTCATGCGTTTTCTCAGATCGGATAACTCTGACTTATCCAAACGATTCCATTTACACCTGGTCACATAAATGTGTTTTCGCAAAACAGATATAAATCCGATCTTCAATTCCCGCGCTATATACAAATTTAGTAAAGTGCACGTCACCGAAAGCAACAGATTTGAGCTGCATTTTATTGATCATCGGCTAATTTCAAAATCAGCAATAAGAGAGAACGGCAACAGCCCTGGGGTAAGATCATTTCGTTTCTGTACTTTTAATGAAGATGGTAGTGTTAAGCGTCTGCGACTTACTTTCACTTTGATTTGCGATAGATTGCGGCGCGTTGGCTTGATGAATAGGGGCTCAGATCTGAGGTGATATGATCGTCATATCGCGTCGGAAGTTCCGGGAATCTCCCGCATATTGATAGGGTCTCCCTGATGGCCGCAAATTAAAATCTCCCGGAATCCGCGCATAACATACTTAGCGCGCGGCGCGTGCATGGCAGAGAGGGAGTGAACGAGACCTTGCTAATGTGCCACGCGAAAGCTAGTCCCGCGCTCTCCTATTGTTAATAAGAAAGCAAAGCGATAAGGGGCCGTTTACACCTGGTCACTTCAGAAGTATATATTTATTTTTAAATATATATAAAAGCAATCCCAGATAGCAAACTGACATTGAATCAACGTGGAAATATGACATCGAAACAACGTTGATCTGACATTGTTTTGCTCATCGAATTAACGTTGAACCAACGTCAGACGCGTCATTCTTTCAAAACTAACGGAAAATCAACTTGAAATCAACGCGTTGTTTCAACGTTATGAAAGCAAACCAATTTTCGCTTTCATTTAGCTTTGAAGAATGCCGCGTCTGACGTTGGTTCAACGTTAATTCGATGAGCAAATCAACGTTGTTTCAATGTCATGAGAGACGTCGTTTCCACGTTGATTCAATGTCAGTTTGCTGTCTGGGATATTCGAATAGTAACTTTAGCATTCGAATAGTATTAATTTTTTTTTTAATATTCGAATTATTTTCGAATTTCGGAATTCGTTCCAACAGCCCTAATTGGTAACTTGCGACCATAGTTGGCTAACGATGCTTTTGGGAAACTCACCCCTGGGCAGCACATTTCATATCTCCCAGCATTCATCTCCGCATGTGTCAATTGAAGCAAGCGCATGTGTCTTTGACCTCCAGGCTGTGACCCTCACTCCAAATGGTGGTCGTCGGTGGCGGTGGTGGTCATCAACTGGCTCCAGGGCGATGACGCGGCGGCAGAGAGGTTGTACCCCGCGGTGGAACACTTGCCCATCAGCCTTCAGTCCGCTGAGTGAGTCTCCAGGACACTTCGCTTTATTCAATGCCACTCTCAGGTTTTTGCTACCACAAGTAAATAAAGATAAAATTGGTTGAAAAGAGATTGCAGGAGTTATCAGTTCCCCATCAGAGTGGCGAATCAGCGTTTTGTTGATACAGCCCCGTTTATCTTTCAACCGGCCGTCCGGGAACGCCGCTTCATTTGACGTGCGCTTTGTGTGGGTTTATGTTAAATAATAATATAAATAATAATATGTGGGCCTGTGCTAAACACTTCCTGTTTGTGTCGCAGGAGTCCGCTGCCCAAAGCCTGCCTTAACACTTTTAAAGCGGTGCGCTCCCTGCTGGTCAAACCTGGCAGTTACCAGCTCAGCCTCAGCTACTGCGAGAAAGCCAGCGTCCTGTTCAGAGACAGCCTCAACCTCGGCCCACACTGCACCAGCAACACTCTAGACAAGGTAACGGTAACGGCACACCCGTCGTTAGACTCGCACTGGTTCGGCTGGCGGTTTGCGCTGTGTGTTATGTCTTGGACAGGGCTGTAGTGCATTGTAGTTGCATTGCATGTGCCTCAACTGTGCAATGTTCCTGCAGTGCAATACAGAGCTGTGCCGCAGGGCCTCTCCTGAACACACACACACACACACACACACACACTCACTTACTTATAAACGACTGGTCTCAGGATGATGTATGACATCAGTTGTCCTCAAGTTCGTCATATTGTCACATGTTCAAATGATGTTTGGCACCCACAGATCAGTGTTGTTTATAGTATTTATTTATATTTTGAATTTAGCTTTTTTATTTTTATTTTATTTTTGTTTTAATAGTTTGATCTGCTTTTGTCATTTTTTGTAATTATTATTTTTTTTGTCTATTTAGATTTAGCTTGTCTTTAAGTTTCAGTTTGTTTGGTTGATTTTAGAACTCTACCATTTCATATATTTTTATTTTTTTTCCATCTAGTATTTGTATTTTAATTTCAGCTATATTTCAGTTAACACAACAACAAGGTTTTAGTAAAAGACAACTACACTGACAAAATGTGTCATAATGCTTTTTGTCTTCATGTGAACAATTTCTGTTTTTTTGTTGTTGTTGTTTTTTTTACTGTTATTTGAACCTTTTAACAAACTTTTTTTTGTGGGATGTTTTGGTTTAAAAGTGTGTTTGCTGTCTTTTTACATTTAATATTTTGATAATTATTATAAATAGATTAAGTTTTTCACGTCAAACTTTTTTTACTTGAGAAAGCCTGACCAGACAATTTGAAGAAATTTTAAAGCTTAAAGTTTGAAGGTTTTGAAAGTAATAGAGACAGACAGACAGAGCGATTGATAGAGCGATTGATAGACAGACAGACAGACAGACAGATGACCGATAGACAGATAGATAGACAGATAGATAGACAGGCAGACAGACAGATAGAGCGATAGATAGATAGAGCGATAGATAGATAGATAGATAGATAGATAGATAGATAGATAGATAGATAGATAGATAGATAGATAGATAGACAGACAGACAGATAGAGCGATAGATAGACAGACAGAGCGATAGATAGAGAGATAGACAGACAGATAGAGAGATAGACAGACAGACAGAGCGATAGATAGATAGATAGATAGATAGATAGATAGATAGATAGATAGATAGATAGATAGATAGATAGATAGATAGATAGATAGATAGATAGATAGACAGACAGACAGATAGAGTGATAGATAGACAGACAGAGCGATCGATAGACAGACAGACAGATAGAGAGATATAGAGATAGAAAGACAGACAGACAGACAGACAGATAGATAGAGCGATAGACAGACAGACAGACAGACAGACAGACAGAGCAAAAGATAGATAGATAGATAGATAGATAGATAGATAGATAGATAGATAGATAGATAGATAGATAGACAGACAGATAGAGCGATAGATAGATAGATAGATAGATAGATAGATAGATAGATAGATAGATAGATAGATAGATAGATAGATAGATAGAGAGATAGACAGATAGATAGAGAGATAGACAGACAGACAGACAGAGCGATAGATAGATAGATAGATAGATAGACAGACAGATAGAGCGATAGATAGATAGATAGATAGATAGATAGATAGATAGATAGATAGATAGATAGATAGATAGATAGATAGATAGATAGATAGATAGATAGAGAGATAGACAGATAGATAGAGAGATAGACAGACAGACAGACAGAGCGATAGATAGATAGAT